CATTTGCTACTGAACAAATGCCACATGTACCACTCTATGTTTATCATAAATAAATGTTTGTACATGGAAAGAATATTTTTTTAAAGGAGAAATACAGGGAACAAAACCTGGAATAATGATCATGAATGACAGGATGTAAAAGATATACCAATGGCCGAAACCGGTTTGGCTCAGTGGATAGAGCGTCGGCCTGCGGACTGAAAGGTCCCGGGTTCGATTCCGGTCAAGGGCATGTACCTGGGCTGCGGGCACATCCCCAGTAGGAGATGTGCAGGAGGCAGCTGATCGATGTTTCTCTCTCATCGATGTTTCTAGCTCTCTATCTCTCTCCCTTCCTCTCTGTAATAAATCAATAAAATATATTTAAAAAAAAAAAGATATACCAATGGAATTATGCCTTTCTTCTTTCTGCTGACAAATATTTCTTTATGAAAAAGTGTTTCAAACTTTGGGGTTAGAAATATTGTAAGAAAAACCAATAATTAAAAAGGCTGGGAGAAAAAACAAAAATAAATCTTTATTGAACATTAGCTAGGGTTCCAGTATGATTACTCATGTATTCCTCACAACTGTATTGAGGAAGTGTTATCTATCAACTTTAAGGTGCAGGAAAAACAGTATAGAGAAATTAAGTGATCTGCCTACAGAAGGTAAATAGAGGAACATAAGTTCAAATACACTTGATAACTCTAACATCTTTGCTCTTTTTCTCACATCATGCATATAACATAAATTTAAAACAGTGTACAAGAGAAGTTATTTTAAGCATGTATGTCTAATCTACACTAATAAAAGACATACATGCAAATTGACCATACCTTTGCTATGCCTTAAGCCATGCCCACCAGCCAATCAGAGTAACTATATGCAAATTAACCCAACCAAGATGGTGGCCGGCAGCCACGGAGCTGGAGCAAGCAAGAGGCTTGGTTGCCCCAATGATGGAGGAAGCCAAGCTTCCCAGCTGTCACAGCCGGCTCTGAGCTCCACTCAAAGCAACAAAGTTTCAATTATAAAAGGTAAATAAATCCCAGAATAAAGAAAAAGGAAAGAAAAAAGGAGAGGCTGGGAGCTTCCATCACCAAGGAGGCTTGGCCAGACTGAAAATGGCCCTCAATCCTCACCCAGACTGGCCAGGCACCCCAGTGGGGACCCCCACCCTGAAGGGTGTGTGACCAGCTGCAAACAGCCATCATCCCCTCACCCAGACTGGCCAGGCACCCCATGCAAGTTGACCCTAAGAGCAGAATGACTGGGAATGACTGGTAACTATGACACACACTGACCACCATGGGGCAGATGCTCAATGCAGGAGCTGCCCCCTGGTGGTGAGTGTGCTCGAACAGGGGGAACTCTGCTCAGGCACAAGCCAGGCTGATGGCTGCCAGTACAGTGGTGGTGGTGGGAGCCTCTCCCGCCTCCTCAACAGCGCTAAGGATGTCCAACTGCAGCTTAGGTCTGCTCCCCGCTGGCAAGTGGACATCCCCCGAGGGCTCCCGGGCTGCCAGAGGGATGGCTAACTGCCATCTTAGGCCCAATTCCCCCGGGGACGGGCCTAAGCTAGCAGGTGGTCATCCCCCGAGGGGTCCCAGACTGCGAGAGGGCACAGGCCGGGCTGAGGGATTCCCCCCACCTCCCCAGTGCACAAATTTTTGTGCACCGGGCCTCTAGTCAATAATATCATATTTTCCTCACCTACAAATTAGGAGAGAATATTTCTTACATAAATATGCAATGTTGATATAGAAAATAACAAAAGGGGTGGTAAAACATGAACAGAACCTCACTCAATGTATGTATTCACAGAGAGAGATGGTGATTAAATTTTATTTCAGGACTACTTTGTTTAATCTCCGTTTAGTAACTTAACAATATGAAGGACCCATATTAAAATATGAAAAAAGGGTGCTGCTAAAACAATCACTAACAAGCTCATTCAATTCATATTTATTATTAGGGAATGAAAGATGAGCTTCCCCTGAATCAAACAAATGTTCAAAATTTCTATGGATTATTTCTTCAAACAATTAAAATTTAACATTAATATACATAAGCCAGTGGTTATAGATCTAATTCTCCCTATTTTAGTGAGTCTCTGATATTTTCCAAATTAATACAAACTATGAATATTAATGGAAGAAACTGTAATTAAGTTGCAAAAACAGAATATTAGAGACACAGAGTCTGAAAGGTCCCAGTGTCATTTATTGATTTTTAAAAAGTTGTATTTCAAGGTTTTATATTAAATGTTTTTATTCAAATATATCAGTCAATAAAAATAAGAAATCAAGATTTTAAAAAACAATTATGGTGAAAAAGCACAATCTCCCTCAGATTTCTTCAGAACCCCAGTAAAGAAATGCATACACAGTAAAAATCAAAAGTATACTAAAGTATCAGATGAAATGGGCAGATTAAAATAATCTACACTAATAAAAGAGAAACATGCAAAATTGGTGTCACTCCACTATGCCCACCAGGCAATCAGAGTGACTATGCAAATTAACCCAACAAAGATGGCGGTTAATTTTCATATGCAGGTGCGGAGCGAAGACTGAAGGCGCTGGCCAGAGTGAAGATTGAAGACTGAAG